AGAGATAGAGAGCACAAGTAGGCAGAGTGGCAGGCAGAGGGAGAGGGAGAAGCAGGCTCTCCGCTGAGCAGGGAGCCGGACATGGGGCTCGATCCCAGGACCCTGAGGTCATGACCTGAGCCAAAGGCAGACGCTTAACCGACTGAGCCACCCAGGCGCCCCCCATGTGAAGTTTTTAAAAAGAAGATCTCTTTTCATGGCCAGACAGTCTGAATCACCTGCATCAAAATTATGTGGGTAACGGTGAAAATGCAGAGTCCTGGGCTCCTCCCCGGACTGGCTAAATCAGAACCTCTGGGGGTAGGGCCTGTGCGGTGGGAGAATCAGCAGCTGGAGCGGTGCTCCGGTGATGCAGGTGTTCGCTGCCCACCCCGCCCCGTGTGGCAGCCACGAACCAACCAACCACACGTGGCTGCTGAGCACCCACCATGTGCCGGGCTGACCAAGGAACTGAAGTTGTCGTTTTCTCTCCTTTTAGTTCGTTTCGACGTGAACAGCAGCGTTGCCAGGGGCCGCTGCACTCCGGGTCAAAGCCCCCAGGGAAGACTGGGCTCCCCTCCTCTCACGAGCCTCCCTCACGCCTGCTGTGTTGCCAGGACCAAGCAGGTCAGAAGCTTGACCTGCGAGACCCGGGACGGACCAGGCTGGCACGACATGGTCCTCACCCCCTCTGCTTCCTGATCGTCTCTGGGCCCCAAGACCACCGCCAGGGTCACCCAGGCGGCGCTCCGGTCGTCCGGAGGGGCCCAAGGGAACAAAGAAAGTGCGCTTGCGCTGGCAGGGCTGGGGGTCCTGCCAGGAGGCCGCCAGCCTGGTGGATGGTCGCTGCGTGGGGATTGTCCATCTGCCCCCAGTCCGGGCACCAAAAAGCTGACCTAGAAAGCACAGTTCTCAGGCACCCCTGCCTCTGGCTTCTGGTGGGGCTCAGCCAATGGGAGGCACTGGGAGAAGGCGGGAGCTGCTAATGCAGCCGGTATTCCCAGCTTCCTCCCTGCTGGGGCACCAGGTGTGGCCTCCTGGCCGTGTGCTCCCAGACGGCCGCGGCCGGGCAACACCCCTTTCTCTGCTGGCCCTTTAGGCTTGGAGACAGGTGACGGCCACTCCCCCGGGGCCTCAATACCCTGCACTGGTTCTGCCCACACTTTGGGGACAAGCCCTTTGGTTTCAACCATCGGGGTGAATTCTGCTTCCTGCCACGACACTGCCATGGATGGGAGACAGAGGGGAGTAAAGCCGAGGCCAGAGTCAAAGCCGTGCTCTTACCTCCTGCTCTGAGAGGCCATCGATGATCTCTGACACCTCGTGCTCGCTGCGGGCAGCCGACATGGAGAGCCCGCTGCCCCGCTGGCCCACCCTGCTGGAGACCAAAGGGACACACTCAGGACCGGCCCCTTGGCAGCCGGGACTCCAGCAGGCACCACAGACCAAGCCCACAACTTCCCCAGAAGCACAGTGTAGGCGGCAGGGAGGAAGGTGTAGAGGGGCCAGGCCTCTCAAACCCACAGGGACCCCCCAGGCTGTGGGGTCCCGGGAGGGCATGGAGCCCCCACCCTGACCCAGGAATGCCACAGGGGCTCCATCCCATCTTCTCTCCTAAGATGCCCCCAAAAGCCCCGCCCCAGAGATCCCTGTTGAAATCCCAGCCCCACCTCTCCAGAACCTGTGCCTCAGTTTCCTCCCCTGTAACAGGGGGATAGCGTGGCCCCCGGCTCCCAGGGCTGGGAGGGGGCATTCAGTGAGGTGCGGACTGTGAGTGTCCAGGAAAGCACAGAAGCTCCATCATCACTGCTCACTGCCTATCACCCTATCCGCGTAACAACACAACCACAGCTACCCATCATCGAGCACCCACTGTGCCCCAAGCACTCCTACACAGGACCTCACACAATCCTCGTGACCGTCATGTGAGACCAGTGTCCTGATCCGGCTCCCAAGCCAGCAGGCAGTCCTCTCGTCTCCGACCCACACGCAGGATCCCAAGCTCAGCTGCCTTCAGGGGCCACGTAGGCCACGTAAATGAACAAAGCTGGAAGGTGGCAGCCCATGGCACGTGGGAAGGACAGCTTGCTCCACCAACACATCCTGAAGTTTCAAATAAGCATCAAGGCCAAGCAAGCTCTGAGTGATTAATCCAAGGACCTCATGCGGCCCCTGGTCGCCGGTGGAAGACCCCGCCGTGCTTTCTGTTTCACACCAGCCACGGCCCTTCTGCTGACCCGGGTCCTCGAGGCATCGTGGAGGAACACAAGCGGTGGGTGGGGTGGGAGGAAGGAGGAAGCAAGGAAGGGAGGAATTCAGGCTCCAGCCCCTGGCTCACCTCTGCATGCGCTCCTGCAGCTCGCGCTGCTTGCGGATCTCAGGAAATTGCTTCTCGTAGTACTCGCGCACCTTGCTCTCCTTGGCCCGCCGCCGGGGATTGTTCTCGATGCGTTCCACCTTCTTCTCCCAGGCCTCCATGAGCTGGTCATAGCGCTGGCAGAACTTCTGTTCCTGGGGGAGCACAGCACGGGGGGCACCGATTAGCAGTTCATCCTCCATCTGGAGGCCAGCCCCTTCCCCCCAACTCTGCGCTCCCAGCCCGCTCTGCACGGACGCACACACGGCCCACACGGAGACCTGGGCAGACCCGGGCCCCAAGAAAACCCACAGGCGGAATTCCCTAAGGGCCCAGCCGCCTCCTTCCTTGGGAGATGGGCCACCGGCCTGGCCTCCTTCTAGAAACGTTTCATCCAATCCAACAGCCACCAGCCACATGTGACCAAGTTCAAATCACATTAAGTAACATTTAAAATTCAGACCCTGGTTCCCCCCAGACACATTTCTTATGCTCCATAGCTGCAAGTGAGAAGGGTGATCATGCAGAGTGGACAGCACACACAGAGACCATTTCCATCACGGAAGTAAGTTATGTTAGACAGTGAGGCTCTGGGGTGTCTGTCAGGTTTGGGGCAGCCCCCTAGAAAGCATCCTCTTTCTGAAAAGTTCCTCATTCTGGCCTCAAGCTCAGCCGTGATCCCAGGCCCAGGGAGTCTAGGTGAAGTCCCAAGCAGCTCCCAGGAAGAAGCCTCACCACCTCTCCTGGACAAGGAAGTCCCTCACAAGTCTAACCACAGTGTCACCCACTGTTTGTCCCCCACCCAGCCAGGAACATAGCTGCCTGGCTTCCGTATCTCCAAGGTGACCTGGACCTTGAGCAGGTGGGGAGCAATAAGCCGCCCATAAGACCCCGATCTCCCTGTCTCTAACAGCTGTGCTGGACAGATGGCACGGTCTGGGAGTCTCGCTTGAACGCCCTCTTGATGCTTCAGCACAATCAGAAAACCCCTCTCGTCCTCGTGATCAGACACTCCACCCCATCCTACATTTCAGCCTGGCTAAGGCAACCTGTGACCTTGGTCTTCAGCAAACCGAGCAGGGCAGCAGTCCCCAAGGGGAGCTCAGGCCAGCTTTGACAGGGAGCAGAACCTGACCCCCAGCTCCCGGGGGTCCCACATGTATGTGGGCTGCTCCAAGAACCTGCCAGGGATCAGGACATGGTTCCAGCAGCAGACAACTGCCACACCATTCGTTCATAGCTCCGTGGTGCGGACAGCTCCTCACTGGGCATGAGGACTGGGGCAGAGGACATCCAGCCTGTCACTATCACAGCATGGGACCCGTTTCAACCTTATAGCTCCTGCCGGAAAGGCTGCAGTCTGATGGACAAGAGTGAAAAAATGTGTCGGGTGGGAGGATGGGGAGAAAAATTCACCAAACCAGCAGAGGAAAATAATGAAGTTACTGGAGAAGACATGCAGGGCCCGTGTCCACTGCACCGGGTGCCTGGGGACAACGCACTGCAGGAGGCAACAGCCCTCCCCGGGGAGCACGACCGCTTAGCGGGGTTTCCCTGAGGTGGATCCACTGATCAGGGGAGGAAGCAAATCTCCCCCTCACGTTCACACACACGCTCACCCTTGAGACGCTGGGGCAGAGCTAAGCCTGTGTGTGGGGTGCCGGGAGCAAATATCTGCAGAGGACAAGGAGCAGGGCCACCGTGCCCCTGCGACCGCCGTCTGCATGTCTTATGAGGACATGTCGCCCCCCACCTCTTGCTTGCCCGCAATCAGAGCTCACCCTCGCCAGCCCCACCACCAGCCCCGACACCAGCTGAATGTTCCTGAGTCACGTGCCGGGCACAGAGCGGAGTCCTTCCTGCGGGCAGACTAACCCAAACCCTGTGCTGGCCACGACTACCATCCCTGTCGTCCAGGTGGGACTCAGAGCCCAGGTAGGTCAGCCCCTGCCTGGCATCGCTTAGTGCGGGAGCTGGGGCCAGGATCCCGGCAGCGGTGGCCGACAGGGACTCTGAGATGACATCCGATGCACCTGCTTGCCCCTTGCTGCTGGTGTTTTTGGCGTCATTCCCAAGAGTCCACTGCCAAACCCAAGGTCATGAAGCATCAGCGCTGTGTTTCTCCCTAGGAATGTTATGGTTTCAGTTCTTGCATTTAGGCCTTCAGTGGACTTGGAGTTGGTATTTGCATCAGTTCTGGGAGGTGGGGGTCCAGCTGCACTCTGCGTGTGGATACCCGCCATCCCAGCACCATCTGCTCAGGAGACCAGCCTTTCTCACTGAGTGGATTCGGATTCGGCCTCTTGTGAAAGATCACCGGGCCACAGGTGTGAGGGCTTATTCCGGGCTCCTCCATTCTGTCCCACGGGTCTCCGTGTCGGTCCTTATGCCACCACCACACTGTTATTACTGTAACCTCGTCATCCATTTTGAAATCAGACGCACATGGTTGTTCTCCTTCCATGCCCCAGGGACCGAGGGCCAGCCTGCAGCTGACAGTTCTTAGTGCCCAGTGTATGCCCGGCGTCACCCTGAGCACCCCATGTGCAGCCTCTCACTCAGTGACCCAACGAGGTGGGTGGTAATACCCTCACCGAACAGAGGAGGAAACTGAGGGCAGACGTTAAATGATTTGCCCCCAGATGCCCAGCAGCACCAAGCTTTGAAACCCCCTGCCCTGCTGGGCGCGGCATGATGCAGCTCTGCACTCAGGGAGGCGAGGGGAGATGGGGCTCCCCGAACACTGGGGAAGGCAATCTCAGGCCAAGGGAAGGGGGCAAGGAGGCTGGTGTTGGAGAAGGGCAGCTGGAGCCAGAGCTCCAGAGCTCACCTCTCGACCTGCAGGGAGGACACGGCTCCTGCAGGCACCCTCCAGGGCTCAGCAGGACACAGCTCAGAGAACCTGCAGAAAGCTCTCCGCACGGGCTCTCCTGAGCACCAGGGCTCCCAGTGCCCCCCCCACCTCGTGTTCATGAGGAGGGTAACAGACTGCAACTCTCCCCGCCCCCGGCCTACCCAGCGCTCAGGCTGCAGAAGCAAGTCATGGATGCCGGGGCGGGTCTGGGAAAAGCCCCGACGCGGAAAACAGGGAAACTCGGAGGTGCGGGGGATGGAAGAGGGGTGAGCAAATCTTCAGCTGGCTCTAAAAGCATGTAAATGACAAGGTGGGTGGGGACAAGCCAAGGAAAGCGGACAGGCAGACTATGCTGAAAATAAGCCAGTGCCCACTGTGGTGGGCTGAAGGGTGACCCCCAGAATCTGTAGATTATTTGGCTTTATTTGACAAAGCACCTGAGATGAGGTCGTCCTGGATTAGGGTGAGCTCTGAACCATGTAGTCAGGTGTCCACGTGGGAGAAGAGACAGGGAGATGGTCCTGTGGATACAGAGGCTGAGACCAGAGGGTCACAGCCACGGCCCAGGGATGCCTGGGGCCCCCAGGGGCTGGGAGAGGCAGAAGAGATCCACCCTAGAGCCTGTGATGGGAGCACAGTTTTGCCCACACCTTGACTTTGAACTCCTGCCTCTGGAGCCATCAGAGAATACATTTCTGTTGGCTTCAGCAGCCTGGCTTGTGGTCACTTACAGCAGCCTCAAGAAACAGGGACACCCACCCTCCATACTGGGCATACCTCCTGGCTGTCCCAACCTGCAAGGCCACGATCGCTGTCACACGAACCCCCTTTACCAGGCACCACCTTCAACCCTCTGCAGCAAGCATGTGGCTCAAAACCCACTGCAGCCCACCACATTTCGAAGAGGAGGAAAAGTGAGGCTCGGAGCGAGACAGCGCTCCCCAGATCGCACACAGCAGGCCATGGCAGGTGGGTTGAACCTGAGCCCCTGTATTCACAGCACAGCCTTACTACCCCCACCCACACCCCCAAGTCTGGCCTCCCAGGGGGCTGAGCTCAGCTTCCCAAGGAAGGGCAGGGCGGGCTGGGAGGTTCATGTTGGTGTCCCTCTGGGGGCAAAGCCTTGGCTCTCTGGGCAAGGCAGGAGTGCAGGCATTGTGGACAGCTGGCTTGTGGTCCCCGGAACCTCTAAGGAGTGGGGCTCCCTGGTCTGAGGGGAGCTGGCTCACAGTGGGGACAGGGCATACAGATCTGAGGTCTGGGGGGCCATCTGGACCAAGACCCCTCCCAATCCTTGCTGAAAACAATGCATCGGGGGTTTTGGGTTCATTACAGAAGAACAACAACATGATCATTCCAAATGCCCTCCCACTACTGCTTAGGGGTCTCTCTTAAGATGGGCTCAGCGTAGCCTCAGAGACACCCCAAATTTCTTATTAGTCTCCAGTTGCTCTATCTTTAAATAAGCCCACTTTCCCCTCCACCCCCTTAAGGGACCCCCCAAGCAATTACATGGATCCTTCTAAAATGTACTTTATAGAGTTTCTTCCTCCGGCCCAAAATGAACCCTATCCCCAGACAGGGCAATGGAGGACATGAATGTGGCCGAGGCTGAAGATCACAGGGAATGGCTGTTCATTCTTCGGAGTGGTAATGACAGAACTTCCTATCCTCTCAGGACACGGGTGCAGAGGCGTTAGGGACAAGGGTCCAGGTGCCTGCACCTACTTCCTACCAGTTCGACGACAACAACATTCATACTTGCGCGTGCGCACACATGCAGCAAAGAAGTGTTCGCACTGACCGATTCTACACAGTGGGAATATAGGTGTTCGCTGTATTCTGTCAAATTTCCTGTTCGAAGATTCTCATAAGAGACTTCACATTGTTTATTAAAAATACACTTAAAAGAATAAATTAAGGGTCCCACTGTGTTTACAATAAAATCTGAATGCTCCATCCTGGTTGGAGTCAAGTGTGTCTAGGTGATCTGGCTCCCATGCCATTCACATCAACCACGAACCCCAGCTCAGGCACAGTACTCCAGACTTGCCTGCTACATTCTATCCCGTCCCACCCAAGCTGGTTCCAACCACAGGGCCTTTGCACTTGCTGTGCCCTCTGCCTGATACTCTGGATTTCCACACAGCTGCTCCTTCCTGGTCGTTCCCACTTCTGTACTGAGGTCACCACCCAGGACATGCAGGGTGTCCCCTCCACACAGCACTTCTCACTGTGTCTCCTCTGCTCAGCCACTGTACCAGGCTCACAGCAGATCCTGGCTGTATATTTAACTCAATGAATAAGATAGGACGCCCACTTTCAAGAGCCCCATCCACTCCACCTCTGGTCACCATCCAGTCAATCCAGGGGTCTGAGAAAGCTGAGAAAGGAAAGGTGAGAAGCCTGCCACTTCTCACCCATGGACCTCTGGGGTCCGAGTGCCACCTGCCAGCTTCCCAGCCACCCGGCATTTGTGCCAGAAGTCTCTCCTCTCTTCTGGGACCCAACTGAGGCCTGGAGCCAGAGCAGGGTGGGTTCAGAGGGACCATGCCCTCAAATGATCCATTCAGAGCTTTGGTGAGATGGTCTGAGAAAGGACAGCTCAGCGCTCCCTCTGGCTCTAGAAGACTCAGATCTGCGGCAGGAATTCAGGTCCCACAGAGAAACCTGTTTGTCAACGTGCTAACACGCAGAGTCGGAAAAAAACTGCACAGAAATGAAGGGAAAACGGGACCAAACCACTCCTGAACTCCACCAAAGGACCTTTTCAGCCACCAATTCCTGTACTGTTTAAGCTCATAGGAGCCAGATCTTCCCTCACGGTGGAAAGAGTACTAACGAGTGACCTCCCCTCCCTGGCTGGGCCCTGACCCCTCCCGCCCCGTGAATCAGTGATGTAAAAGCCACCCTGAACCACAGCTGCCCGTGTCCCCTCACACTCTCCGCCTTGGGCCCGCTTCCCACATGACAGGCCAGAGCGTGTGGCCTGGTGCAGGAGTCGCACCCGGGACTCGTGACGCAGCTGCTGCCCACTGCAGCGAGCGAGGGGGCCTCGCTGCCTCCGGGTGCGGGGAAACCTCGTCTCTAAGGGAGCTCCCCGCAGTCCTGCTGCCAGCACACGGCCCACCCCCAACCCCCACACCTCTTCCAACAGACCTCTCTCTTCCTGCCTGCAAAGCCCACGGGTCCTCCGACAAGCAACCCATCTTCCGGGCCAAGATACTGCTTTCTCCCTTTCCAGGATGGCAAAGGAGCGGCAGAATTCCAGACCCCGGACCTCTGTGGGCAGCTGAGCCCCAAGCCCTGGCCTCACCAAAGCACCTGCCATCCCTTCCCGTTTGCCCTGCCGTCCCTGGCCTTTCTCCACAGCCTGGATGCACAGCAGAGACAGCTGCAGGCCAGGAGGTCCCGTGGGCACAGCCTGAGGTGGCCCGGACTGCCTGGACTCTCCAGGAAGCCTGGCCCAGGGGAGCGAGCGGGGAGATTCCAGTGATGGCTTACCCATTGTTTCCGAGCGTGGTTCCTCCTCTTGAAGTACAAGATTAACTTCTTCCGCATCGCCTGGTTTCTAGGCAGGAGGAAAACAGCACATGCGGCAGGTCAGTACTACAGGGTTTCAGATAGTTTGTCCTTCACTGAGCTGTTTCCTGAGAGCAAGCCCTAAGTTTGCCCCTTTATTGGATCTCGGGGAGCTGAGAGACGCCCACAGCCCCCCAGAGGGAGCCATGAACTGCCAATGGTGTTCTTCCTCTCCGAGGTACCCCAACCCACATTTAGACTGAGCGTGGTGTGCGAAAGAGGGGTTCCCAGGGGGATAAGGGTGTCGGTGCTTTCTGCCCTCCCCTTGAGCTGCCATCCCCTGCCACACACGCCCAGGATCCCTTCTGGAAAACCAGCCACAGAGAAACATACACAAACGTGGGCCGGAGAGACCAAGACCCCGAAAGCTATGGCCACCCAGAGACAGGTGTCCCCCGGCTGGCTCCAACCAAGCAGCGCACTCTGGCCTCCAGGTACCCTCGACCTGTGGCAGGCGGAGGTCACCTAAGTAGGGCAGCACAGGTGGGCAGTGGCCAGCAAGGCGACCCGTCAGGAGGCCTCCTTTCCCTCAGACCCGCCCCACGGCCTCCCCACACAAGTGAGTGCTACAGCGACGCCTGGGTGGGCCGGGGGGGGGGGCGGTCAGGCAGGCCTTGGGAGCCTGGGGAGACCCCGAACTTGCTCACCCCAATCCAAGCATGCAGCAGCACCAGCTTCTCTGGGGAGGGATGCTCCGACTTCCTCATATTCTCAGTAGTGTCCAAACCCCACAAAAAGCTTACAAACCATACCCCATCCAGCCTCCAGGAGATTCCAGGGGCCACCCAGGACCCCAGCCTCAGGAAAAGGACTAAGGTGGTGGGAGTCCCCAGGCCCTAATGGACAGGCAAAGTTCCCCCAACACACGCCTCACGGGGGCTAAAGGGGCTGGAAACAATTGGACACAGGCACCCCATGGATTGTCACACTCGGCCTCCAGGCCCCCGCAGACAGACACCACCACCTCAGAGGGCCCCACTGCCAGGCCCAGCTGTCCTCAGGGTCTGCCACCAGGCCTCTGTCCCCAGCCGAACAAGCGTCCCCCAACCTCCAGTGATCTCCAGCAGGAAGCTGGCATCCTCACTATTTGCTCTCAAGTCCAGGGACTCTAACAAGCCTGCACAGCTCCTCTTAATTAGGAGGGAAAGGCCACAGTGCAAGCATGGGCAGCATCCCCTCTCTGGAACCCCCCGTGGACCCCAGCAGGGTTCAGAGCCCTGTCCACTCTCCGCCTCCCAACAAGGAAACACCACGCCACTTCCAGGAGGATCTGGGGGTGGGGGGGATCCCTGCTTCCCAGGGTCTTTCTGGCCTCGCATGAGCCGGGGCCTCCCCACGGACATCGACCTCCCTGCCTGTCCCCAACAGGGTGCACACTGGGGTCCTCGGTCACACAGGCTGAGATGAGAACACTTAGTCCCATGACAAAATGTTTCAGCAACTTCAGAGGGCCTCCCAGCCTCAACATCCTCGTCTGAAAAATGGGCACAATAACATCATGTTTTCATGTCCTTGGTCATTCAACGGATGTTTACTGAGCACCTACTATGTGCAGGCACTCTTCTAGGCACTGGGGACACAGCCTTGAGCATGGCAGAGTCCCCAGCCCTCATGGAGGTGACGCTTAGAGGGGTCACACAGACAGTAAACAAGATAATCCAGATAATCCTGGATTCAGAAACTTAAATGGTGGTGGGGTAGTGACCAGGACGGGGAGGGGGTAGCTATTTTAGATGCAGTGGTGCAGAAAAGTCTCTCAGAGAGGGCCCCAGGTGAGATCCGGATCAGCAGTGGAAAGAAGCGGAGGGAAAGGCACTCCAGGCAGAGGACTGCAAGTACAAAGGCCCCGAGGTAGGAACAAACTCCCAAGTTCTTGAAGGACAGACAGAAGGCCCATGTGGCTGGAGAGCACTGGGGAGAGGTGGAGGGGGCAAGAGGGAGGAGAGGAGCGAGGCCGGCAGGGCCAGCTGTACGAGGCCTTGGTTTGGGCCGAGTGAAGGGTCTGGGCTTTGAAAAAGACGGACAGAGCTGAGACGGCCAAGAAGCAAGGACAGCCCAGGGCAGTGAGCCCGGGAGCTCCGAGGTCTTGGTTCCTCACATGATTCTCCAACAACAAGAAAGCCATTTCTCTCTGGAGGGGTGGCTGATTCCAGAGCTGGGGCGGGACTACACAAGGACAGCCCAGAGCATCTTTAAGGAAAGAAGGGCTAAAAAGAAGAAAAGAAAAAAAATTAAAAGATCGGAGGAACACAAGTCCCAGCCTGAGCTTCAGCCTGCCGAAGCCGGGAGAGTCCGAGCACAGATTCCGACCACAGTAACACCAGCACCAGACTATAACCCAGAGAACAAAGCACATATCCATGAGTCCACACGGATATGAATAAATGACTGAATAAATAAATAAGGAAGAAGGAGCAAACGTTCCTGACAGAATTCCGATTAATAAGCATACGAGCAAGGCAGGAGATGAAAAAGCACCACTAGAACTCCTCAGCCTGAACTGCTGCAGGAAGATCCATGCGGGAACGGCACAAGACTTGGCCACACTTTGAGGAAAAACAGGACATTTGCACAGGATCAAAGTCTCTTCCCCCAAAACAGTCACCAGTCATTTGTGACTTGTGTCCACAAATTCTGTGGTATTGCCCCAGCAGGAGGTGCAGGCTGGATCCTTGACTTGCCCCTAAAGCACCAAGCACAGGAGGGCTAGACAGGCGCGCACCTGACAGGCCCCGATGGGAAGGGCAGCTCCTCACCTCTGTGGGGCTCCTCCCTCAAATTCACACCCAGTCTCTTCATGAGAAAGCACCAGGCAAACCCGTATCAAGGGACATTCTGCCAAATCCCTGACCACAAATCCTCAAAAGGGTCAGGAAAACCAAGGGAAGATGGAGAAACTGTCACCTGGGGACCAGGAGACACGAGGACAAAGTGCAAAATGGGGACCTGCAATCAGATCCTGGACCAGAAAACAGACATCAGTGGAAAAACTGGAAAAAAGTCTCTGGGTTGGCACAGAGCACTGTCCCACTGTCACTTTCTCAGTTCTGATGAGAGTAGCCTCACTTCCGTAAGATGTTCACATTGGGGGACGCTGGGTGGAGGGTATATAGGAAATTCTACTATCTTTGCCACTCTTCTGTAAATCCAGCTTTAAAAAAAAAGATTTTATTTATTTGGAGAGAAAGAGACAGCACATGAGCAGAGGAAAAGGCAGAAGAAGAGAGAGAATCTCAAGCAGACTCCTCAATGAGCATGGAGGCTGACACAGGGCTCGATCTTGTGACCATGAGACCATGACCTGAGCGGAAATCAAGAGTCAGACACTTAACTGACTGAGCCACCCAGGCACCCCTAAATCTAGCTATTTTTAAATAAATTAAAAAAAACAAAACAGGGTCATGATCTATGTTGAAATCATAGTGAGAACAAATACAGTTTACTTTCGAGCCTGCAGGGGGCTTGGTGTATGTTACGCATTGAAATGTGTCTCCCCCCTCAATGCTGGGAGTCCCAACCCCCTGTACCTCGGAACACAACCCAATTTCAAAACCAGGTCTTTACAGAGGTCAGAGTTAGTATGCGGTCATGAGGGTGGCGTCCTTATAAAAAGGTGAAGTGCAGACTTGGAGGTGGACACACAGAGAGGCAGGAGGACACGAGAAGACAGAGACGGGAGACAGGGGAGTGTCTACAAGCCAAGGGACGCCCAGGAAGCCAGCAAACAGCAGAAGCTGGAAAAGGCATGGAAGGCTCCTCCCCCGGAGAGACCAGGGCCCCAGCACCCCTTCATTCCCAACTGCTGGCCTCCAGAGCTGGGAGAGGCTCAGCCGCTGTGGTTTGCCGCCACTCGGTTTGGGGTAACCTGACCCAGTGGCCCGAGGCAGCGGACACAGCCGAGGCCAGTGTTCTCCAGCGCGCCCTGGGACGGCCACAGCGTGGGGGCATAGGTGACTCCTGCAGCCACCTCTTCTCACCGTAGCTCCTGCAGGGCAGGAGTTCTGCCCGGCGGATCTGACTTTCCTTCCAAAGCAAGCACCGTGCCTGGCGCCCAGAGGCAGCCACGGACTGCCAAAGAGGACAAATGTCAAGTCGGCAGGTTGCAAACGGGCACGGTCCACCTGGCGGAGCCAGCCCGTGAAAGCGTTGTGTTTGGACTGCCATGATTTCTAAAAAAATCTCAAATCACTGCCAGTATCGAAAACCAGAAGTGTTGCATAAAAAGCTGAAGTTAAAGCCTCTTTTAAAAGATCAGGCAGTCTGGCACAGCCCCTCATGGCCACAGCCTGGGGCTGAGGCTGGACCACCCCCCCCCTTTTTTTTTTTAAGGTTTTTTTTAATTTATTTGACAGAGAGAGACACAGCAAGAGAGGGAACACAAGCAGGGGGAGTGGGAGAGGGAGAAGCAGGCTTCCTGCCGAGCAGGGAGCCCGAT